ACATAATAAAGCTGTGCAGACTGAATATAATTAAACGTGTTTGCGGGTAAATATTATACGTGTACTTTGTGAAGAAGTAGCAATAGGCGGAACGGCAAGCGATGTGGAGGCGAGAAGACATAGAATGACCGCGAAAAAATCTTGAGATAATTATTAAGGTGCTATTTTATGCGCAACAATTTGCTATTATTAGTTAAAATTGATGCACTTCTAGCGCGAAATACTTTTTTATTGCATCTCATTTTGTTGTTTTCAAATCGAATAGAGCAAACAAGCAACAAATCCGGCATTTTACCTTCTTAAATTTTTCAATATTTTTAAATTTAGAAGTGCCTTTGGCGTATATTTTTCATAAATTGCTTATATGAATGAGTTAATTAAACGACAAATACAATAATGATTATAAATAATTAATTACGACTATTTCTTGTTATTAGTATTATTCAATTATATACCTGGGAAAAAATTTTATATTTCATATAAAATTATATATAATTATATATAAAATATGTCTATATACGAAACATTTTTTCCCGGGTATTTGTTTAAGAGATGAATAATAACGTTAAATTCGCGCAACAGTTATTTTTTAAATAATAATTACAATATCTTGAAAATATACTTTAATTTGGATACTTTTGTATATTACAGATCAAGTTATAATTCCACTGCTGTATGTCTCTCTTACGGTGAGTGTTAGAGTACTTTTTAACTCAATCTTTTGCGCACGCTTAACAGTAGTATACAAATATAAATATATACTCGTATATGTATAATTTTATATTTATAGTAAATAAATAAGAATTAAAGCCAAATTTTTTTTACTATTATTGATGTTTATCTTGTCGTATTACTTAATAATTAATTCGTTAGATTATAATTATATATATTTTTTATAAATAATGTACTTCTACAAATTGTGACGATATGGTGTTATAAATGAGTGATTTTTCTTTTATGAGATAAAGGGAAGGTTACTATATTTTTGCAAGATATAAAACTCAGAATTCTTTAGGGCAATAAGAAACTTCATCAGGAAGTGACTCTATAAAAAAAAAATAAACAATATTAATTTCTTTATTAATTTATGTACAAAAATATATGAAAGAGTATATAGTTTGTTAAAATGTTTAATTTATTAAAAATTTGTTGTCTATTTTTATCTATAACACATACATTTACACACACAAAAGATATTTTTAATCAATTGAATATTTCTAAAAAAAAAAAAGTAAATTTTTCGTTTCTGAAATTTGTTTTACTTTTCTATACAGCACAGAATTTGTAGCAATATCACTGCAAAATCTCTGCAATATTGCTGTAACATGCAATGTTGCTGCAATATTGCAGTAGTGTTCCTGCAACTTTTGTGCAACTTTGTGCTGTAGGGGTAATTGTTAAGAGTTTAAAATTCTATTTAAAGAAACTAAATTTAAAAGCGAAAGTTTTGCAAGATAAATGTTTTTGTAAGTATTGATAATATTCAGATAGATGATCACCGTATCTTAGAAATAAAGAAAGTCCTTAGCTAACTATCGCACTTGTTTAGCCTTGACTGGAGCAAAATAAAAGCTTGCAACAATTTTCGAGGTATATCTCTGGATTTTCCGTACAAACTTTGACAGTATGTTCTACTAACAAAAATAAGAAAAAGATATTACATAAACATAAGTCTTTATATTAAATATTATATTAAAAAGTATATTAAATGACAAAAATATATTAAATGTGTAAAAAACAATGTTATCGAAGTTTGCATTTCAAATTGCTGTCCATTCATGTTAATACAAACTTAACGTCGATATAATTTCGAATTTATCTTTTGTTGCGAGGATAGAGTAAACCTTTATATAAAAATTTCTTCTATTTTCATAACAAAAGGTGATAAATTCAATATTGATGTCAAACTTGTTTTAACATGGACAGACAGCAATTTGAAATGTAATTTCGATAACATTGTCTTTTTACGCTTTTAATATTTTTGTTATATATTTTTTAATATAGTATTTAAATTATTATTAAAATATATAAATATTGTGATAATAATAGCATTTAAAGACTTATATTATGTTTAATACATTTTTCTTATTTTTGCTGGTAAAACATACTGTTAAAGTTTGTATGGAAAATCTAGAGATACTCTGTATGTATTTACAAATGCATTTGTCTCGAAACACTCTGAATATCCTTAGCTTTAGATGCGAAGACCTGCAATGCTGAGCTAAATTAACGCTTACTCCAACTTTATTCACATTGCTTTTAATGCTTCTTTTAATTTCAATTTAAACTATTTCGCAATCGGTGAATTGCACAAATTAATTGCAGATAAAATTAGAATATTGCCTTTCAGTAATTGATTTTATTTATTGGATGGTAATTGTATGGCTTGAACGAAAGAGAATTTAACTGTGAGAAGGGTATTCGCTTTTATAAAAGAAGGATTTTATTATTATAAAAAAAAATTATGTTTTTTTGAAAGGTGATTTATTTCTCATCAAATCTTATGGTGAAATTGTCTTTATAGACTTAACATAAAGTTTTATGAAAATGTGTATCATTCCATTGTGTGTACACATTTTTTATAGAATAATATTTTTCCAAGAAAATATAATATTATCCGAATGAAAGTAGCATAAAATGAAAGTAGCATGAAATATTAATAAAGGTTTATGTTTTATACAGGTATTACAATTTTATTTCACATACAAACTGCGAGAAGCGTACACATACATTTGCGCGTAATTTCTCAAGGTTCTCTTGTCGTTCGCTTTTGACCTCGTTTGAAAGATAAATGCTAATGTTTGTGTATAAGAAAATTTCAATTTGACAGTAAGACAAATATATAGTCGAATATCCAGAATTTATAAAGCAGTAAATAATCAAATATTGTATGAATAGAAAATATTTTAAAATTCTAATTCATAAATTATATTTAGTTTTATATTTTATTAAATTTTATCTCACAAAATATATTTTTTCTGATATACGATGTCTGTCCGAAAAATAACGAATCTGACTTTTTACAATATATTAATATAAAAAATTACATTTGATTTGAAATTTTGTTAATATAATAAGATTAAAAATAATTTACTTCATAAGAATCTCGAGAGAGAAATAAACAAAAAGTATATACATTTATAATGAACTTATTAATACATTTTGTTCTATTTGCTTTTAATTATACTAGTTTACAGCAAAAAAATTTTTGAATAGATATTTCTTACAGAAATGCTGAAAACGTGTGCGATGCAAGTAAAAAAATTTCAGCACGTCAGATTCCCAAAATGATTTGTTGTCCAAAAAATGGCTTTTCAGATAATATTTTACTTTTTTTTTTAGGTTAAACCTTATCTTGCATTTATAATTAAATAAATTAGTTATATTGTTTATACTCTATAAAATACATATTTTTTATTTCAATATCTTACTTTTTAAGTTATGTTATGAAGAATTTAAATATCTTTTTTCTAAGATAGTAAATTTTCCGCTCATAACGATGAAATCATATAGTTTTCAGTTTGCAGTTATTGATACACGTACAAACTATAAAACTTGCTTAAAATAATTTTTTTTTAAATGCACTTTTTTTAAATGATATTTGAGATATTTGAGATGGGCAATTAAAATGAGACATTCTATGTGTGTATGTACATATATTATATTTATGTATATACGTATAAATGTACATATATACATAAATTATAATTGTACATTGTATTATGTATAAATGTACATATACATTTAGCGGATCTATAACGATAAATTACATTGTGTATCAATAGTCGTAAACTAGAAATGATAAGTATATATAACTTTATCGTCGTAGGCGAAAAATTTATCGTCATAAAAAAACTCTATATAATTAAATCTTTCATAATATGTCTAAAAAGTAAGATATTAAAATTAAACAGCTATTTTTATAAAGGATGAAAAAAATACATTTATAATATAATTTATGATCAGAATTTTTTCAAGATAACGTTAACCTTTTTTATAAAAAATATCAAATTTCGCAAAAAGCCATTCTTTTGTATTAAATTATTTATTTCGAAATCTTGACGTGCTAATAAAATTTAATTTGCGACATCGTCGATATTTAAAAATTTATAAGAAATATCTTACTTCTTTTAGGGTAATTAAAAAAAATTTTTTTTTTGTAAACTAGTGTTATTTACATTTTCCTAAAAATGTACCACATTTTAAAAATAAACGTTATTTTTATAAAAATTTATAAAAAAAAGGAAAATTAGAATTTACAATCAACTTCGAATTAGAAATATGTTTTGTTTTTTAAACTTTATTGTTTATCGTACTTATTAATATCATATTTGAAGAATAACAATTAGAATAAAAAACGTGTATGCACTTATGCCAACAATGCACAGCTGTCTACGTGATAACATTAATCGCTTTGCATATTGATATTGTTACGTTCAATATTTACCGATAGATATCGAACGGATGAGACATACAATACAATATAAATGTATAATGGAACAAGGTATCATGCGTCGAAATGCAAACGAGAGAACATTTGGTTTTTTTATAAAGTGCATATTGAATTTTTTACATTTTATATTTATATGAAATTCTTTTCCGCAAAAAAATTAAAAATTACGAATCTCACAACTTAGATGAGGTTTAAGCTGTAGCTTAAGTCGCATCAGCTTGTTGGAGAATGACAAAATACATTGGAGTAACCCAGATTACGGCAGAATTCGCAATGAAGCATATCGGAATACGTCAGAGTTGCGGAAGATTTAGTTCACGTGATTGAGATAGATCGCAGTTAGCCAGGATAGACTGGAGGTAAGCGCACCCTAGAGGAGGCCTGATCATGACACGTAGCCTCTTCCGAGGGCGAGAATCGAATAGTGACTCCTGGGGGGTGCGCGCGCGTTGTCGCGCGATATCGGTGGCTGCGCGTTGACACGACGCGCGTTCTCGCTGCGCCGGCAGAGCAGCATTACGGTCGCGTTACCTTCGCGACACGGAAGACCGAGTGGAGAGTATATCCTGACATTTCTGACACGCGCGCCAACCACCTAGGCGAGGAAGCGCGCAGCCGAGAGATCCGAGCGAGTGTCAAGCTCGGTCTTCGTCCCTCGCATCGACGTGGCACAGTCTGTCGCTTCTCGCCGTTACCATCAGTTCTGCTGCGAGTAGCTAGATATTAATTCGTCGTGAACGAATTGAATAATATCGGAGTGAGACGAGAATCTGTTTGGCTTTTCAGCAAGCATCATCGAAAGTGTCGTCACGTGTGAATACGAGCTGGTTCTGGAAGCAATCTGTTCCACGTCATCAATCAAAATTCTGAAGAGGAATCTTCTTCCGTGATAGCGTGATCACGATCGACTCTGGGATTTCCTAGGTCGTCGACCTGTGGTCTTCCTGCCTCTCGTCCTGCGCGAGTGTCGCGTAGCGTTTCACCGAGCAAAGTGCAGTTCTGTGTCGTGATTCTTTATCATCTTTAATCCCCCTGAGAATATCTCAGGTGTGAGTCTTCCGTTTGTGGTCATTCTATTGGCGTCGATAAGTCACTTCATCGGTCCACGCGACCAGCTGCTACCTCTTTCTTTCTCTCATTCTCACTCTCTCTCTCTCTCTCTCTCTTACGTCACTCCAATCGCAGCATGGGGGACCAGGAGCAACAGGAAACGATGTCAAGCGTGGTAGAGTTGAACGTGGGCGGCGTCTTCTACACCACTGCTTTGACTACACTGACTCGCGAGAGCGATTCGCATCTGGCGGCACTCTTCACTGGCAAATTCACCGTGGAAAAGGACGCCAAAGGCAAATATTTTCTGGATCGCGACGGCGTACTCTTCCGTTATGTATTGGACTTTCTGCGCAATCAGGCACTCGTTTTACCCGAGGGCTTTCGTGAACGTGAGAGACTCAAACAGGAGGCGAATTTCTATGGTCTACCTGGTTTAGAAAAGGCAATTTTGGAGAATACAGATTCCGGCGGACAAATTGGCGGAGCAATTGGCAAACGCGCACCAGGATACATCACCATCGGCTATCGCGGCAGCTTTGCCTTTGGCCGCGAGGGTCTAGCCGACGTCAAGTTCCGCAAGCTCTCGAGGATCCTCGTGTGCGGCCGCGTGGCGCTCTGCCGGGACGTTTTTGGTGAAACGCTGAACGAAAGTCGCGATCCTGATCATGGCATGTCCGATCGCTACACATCACGCTTTTTCCTGAAACACAGCGTCATCGAACAGGCCTTCGACATGCTGCAGGAGCAGGGCTTCAGACTAGCGAGCAGCTGCGGCTCCGGCACTGCCGGGAGCAACTCTGAGCAACTGAAACCCGGAGTGGATTCTGAAGAGAATCGTTGGAATCATTATAACGAGTTCGTCTTCGTGCGCGATTAAAGAGTTTCGCAAACGAGTACTTTGGCTAAACATCGTTGACGGCTCTTATTTTGCAAAAGTACGAGGCTGCGATCGAGCAGCTGCCGCGAAAAAGAACTTCTTCAGATATTCGAAACAGTTCAGACAGAAGTGGAAACATTCGCGAAGACACGTGTGTCTAACATGCGAGCGAATGACATAATACGGAACTCTCGTTTATAGCATGCTTTATGATACATAATGAAGTTGATATGCAATGTCAAGTTTAACAGGAGTTCGTACGAAAGCGTCGGACAATCGTATTTCGCGAAGTTCGTAATTAATTTTGTCTTATAAGAAAATTTCTCAGTCATTATTACCATTAATCAACATATTTGACATAAAAGGAATTTGGAATACTTTGACATTCGAGAATACTAACATCGTCTTCTGAAATATATTATATCTTAAAATGTTTTTCTCACTTTAATTAATTCTTTTATCGGAATAAAGAAAAATGGATAAGACGCGACGAAGATAGATATCCGAAAACTGTCGTCTTTCGATAGAACCCTCGTTTAAAACATTGACAGCGCTGAAGTAAAGAGGAATTGAATTTCTGTATTAAAGAGCATTATAAACTCGTCGAACGTGATCGTCGACCATGTCGGGAATCTACGAATTTGCTTGAATCAAAATGCAACATAGAGAATTATGAACGGCAAGTTAACGTCGAACGTCGAACTTAAAATTTAGTCAATGTCGAACATAACAATTTGGGGAACATAATGTTGAAACCAAAGATATTTCGTTAATTCATGATTATGTTTTTTATGTGTAACTAATTATTCAACTGTAAATGAGTTTGATTCACATCTATACAAATAGAATCTAAGACTTTTCTGAACGTCTTACGACGTTAAGATCTTCCGTAATCGGAAAACGTACCGATGGCAATAACAAAATTGCCATTTCTGACAAAAATCCGATGTGCTTCTATCCAGGGCTGTTGCGAAGGAGAGACGTTTATTAAAAAGTAGTCTCACGTAAATCCACGAGATGAAAGACGCCAATATCGGGCGTTTTTCATTGCTGGAGGATGCGAAGTAAGACGGTGAATGAAACGTGCACAATAAAAGCGGATCGGGGCAAAAAGGGTGGATGATGCTGAGATATTTACGAATGCGACTTGGCCCCTTTAAGAGGTAACAGTGTCAGATACGTCAGTGATAAATGTTGTTGGATGCAACGGTCGAGAAAATGTAAGGAAATATGTAAATGCAAGACGGACATGACGTGTACACAAGTATTGGCTGCTTTAGAATCAGATCGAACGAATGACGCAATAACATTTGCGTGTTTTTCATTCGCATTTGACGCAAGAGGAAATTAAAGGTGATGAAAAATTTCAATTATGTCTGATAACGAGATTATTATTTAAAGAAAGTCTCCGGTGCTAGTACGCCGAGTAGAGTTAATACTGATAAATGGTCGGGCCGAGTAGTTACTGCTAGATGACGGTCAGACCGAGTAGTTACTACTGATCGCTAGTCGGACCAAGTAGTTAGCGGTACGCTAGAATCGGACCTTTTCTTTAAGTAGAAGATATATGATGAAAGAACGGCGGTAAGAATGATGTAGATATCGATATTTAGTGAATTATTGTTTCTGTATAAACTCGGCTTAAATAGGGTAACTATAGCACCATCCTCGATGGGCGGAGCGGCTTGTCGAATGCGTGTACTTACAACCCGACACGATGTCAAACGTGCTATTCGAAAGACGGAACGCTCGAAAATACGTGCTTTCTTCTGATGACTTGTCTGTCAATCTCTTAAATTGATAAAAAACGCGTCAATGCTTTCCTTTCTCGTTTTAAATTCTTTTCTCTGTAAAGCAGAACGTAAATGTGGCAAGCAATTCGTAACTTTCGATCCGTTAACGTGCGGAAATATCGGAACACGATGAAAGCAAAGTGTTGTTATAAATTTGCGGTGAACTTAATGTCGTAAATCATTCGTGCAAAAACATCTAGATAATCGAGATATTTTTTTCCTTTTTGATGCAATTATATTTTACGGAATATATTTGAAAAAAGTTTTCAGATATTTTTTGAAGGAAAAAAAGTTATAAATTAAAAAGAATTGATCACTTTTATTAATTTCATGTTAATACTTACTTACTATCAGTTTTAACTGATATTTCTTTGTATACTTGTGTTGAAAGTTTAAGTTATATAGGCTTTCTAGCTTTTTTATTGTCCTGTTGTAAAGTATAAAATAAAAAATAAAATATAAAAAGATTTTCAGTTTAGACTTTCCAATTATTTTGCGTTGTATAAAATATCGTTTATTTATCTACTAATATTATTAGTAATTAATATTATTAGTAATTGTTTGCTTATTCGGAATAATGGAAGAATCGAAAAATTTATCGCGATTATCCTATCGCAACAGGTTATCATGTAACGGATAATATTTAACGACTGTTCCGAAAAGTGCCGACGGCACTGAACAGACGAAGCAGGTATCGAGTTTAGCTTCTCGTATAGAAAGCATACAACGTCGAAGATTTTCTTAATGGAGATAATAAATCTCATATCGTAGCAATGTCTCTATATTTATTGTTATTATTATGGATTATATTTATTATTATGATGATTGATGAATGTGTAGAATTACAATAAACGTAGAATTATTTCAATTTTAAATGCACGCATTTATCTTTCCTAACTTGTTAGCAGAATCAAAATTATACATATATTTATGAAAGGTTTATTGTTACGAAAATTAAGATGAAAATTCGCAATTGGATGCTTACTCTTTATTTCGATACGCGTTGCGATAATCCGGAAAAACAATTTCGGAGTGATGATGCGAATCGAAGCTGTTATTGTTAGTACATGGTTCGCTGTTCAATGAATGTCGCTTCTGCGTCCACAATGGATTGATTTATAATGTTGTTATACGTTCGGGTTGTCGTACGAGTTATGCGTGTCAATGTGAGGTGTTATATGTAACTGAGAGTGGACATGATAGTCCAACGTGAAAATTTAATTTGTTTACATTGTACGATCTGCCATCAAAACCATTAATTTTTTGCAATTGAGAGACATTTCACAAACTAATGCTGACTGTTAAATTCTTAATACAATGTTCCCTATTAAGAGAAAACGTTATTATTACATAACATAACACATGTGAAACGACTGAATGATGTTTTCCAAGTTCTTGTGAGATATATCAGCTTTCAGATATGATCTGCAATTGATCATAATGATGACTATTGTGTTGAGTAATGCGTCATATCTTGTTCGGAGATTCTATTGATTAATGGAGCGGTAATAGCATTGCAATTGGTACTTGGTTACAATTAGTAAATCGCCTACTTCCATTTACTCTGTACAAATAAAGACATTCAGGTAAATCAAACTTGTAAGATAGTAAACGGATATTGCACGACGTTAATGTAGAAGAGTCTCACGTAGAACGACTGTAAACTTCAATTTACTTTATAACGGTACAATACTACATAATATGGTACAAATTTAAATCTTTACCAACCATATATACTATTTAGACATTTATTTCTTATATATTATATATAATATTTGATACTTTTAACATAATCATTTATTAAATATTTTTATTTTATTTGATAATCTTATGTTAATTTACAAGTTAAATTATTTGTACAAATAATGTGCGAACATATGAAATTGGGCCCAAATAAATTTTGCATTATTGATATCTTATTTCGAGTCTTTATGATTATTAAAATCAATTGATTATCATACATCTTTATAATGTGAAATAGAAATAAATTGTATTTTCTGATGCTTGTATTTATTTCTAATATTGGAAATGATAAGAATAATTTTCAAATGTAGCGAAAAGGCATATAAATATTTATATCTAATCACCTAAGTATCGATATATTAAATTCTTGGAAATATTTATATCTTTTTGGTTAATTATATTTAGGTTCGGAAAAAATAAAATGTTGTTTAATTTATGTGTGCATATATTGTATACAATGCACTTTTATTGTAAGTTTTAAATATTATCTTTATATATCCAAGTATACGCAATATGTTTATTTGTAGTGATATATTATGCGTGCGTAAGTTACGATAAAGAATTGAAATTGACGATAATAATGCTGAGATTTGTGACATAAAGGCTCTATTTCGTAGATTAAAAGCAGTATTATAAATTCGTTGTGAAAGGTAGCGAGTCTCGAGTGAATGACAGAATTTAATTTTTTTGTATTTCATCGAATTTTAAAGAATTTGAATTTCATCGCTATCGATCATTAAAATTTTTATTAAATGTTGTAACTTTTGATAATTTAAAAATAATTATTTTATTAAATACTCTTTTTAATCGAACTTAAATCTTTGTTTTTGTTTTAGAAAGTTTAGATGGAATTCGAATTCCGTAAGATTCGATTAAATTTTAACTTAATTTTTAATCAAATAAGCTCCTTATTATATACGAGCTTCGCCAAACTTCTTTCTTTGATATAAAATTTCTATTACTATCACCGTTTGAAATTTAATGTTGGCATCTCATATTTTATTTGTAAAATTTAATAGAAAACATAAGAATTAGTAGAGAAATAGTATAGTTAACGATGCAATCGGATCATTTTTCAAATTATAATTATGATACATTATGATATATTGATATATGAAATCATCTTTACATTGAAAAAAAAATTTGTTCAACTAAACACATTTAGTTTATAGATTTGATTAATTCAACAAATTTTATTTAATTGAATTTAACCTGTAGTCTGTTCATTGAACAGTTTGTTAAGCAGACTACGGTAGAATTCGATTAAATAAAATTTATTGAATTAATCAAATCTACAAACAACTAAATGTGTTTAATTAGTTGAACAAATTTTTTTTCAATGTAGTATTTATAATAACAAGATTTAATATTATATATTTTTTT